CATAAAAAAAAACAATCAAGGAGAAAAGCTAAACACAGAATAATTCCCAAGATATCAACACTTAACAAGAGAAAAAAGTCTGAAACCGTGACCATGCCCATCAGTTTCAGCATGGCTACTTAGGCATGTTCCTCTAAATGAATATGATCTACAAGCTCATTTACATCAATTAACCATTTTTCTCCTGTGCTTTAATGCACAATTTCTCATTTACTGCTAAATGTTAATCAGCTATAGCTGCTGTGGAAATGTTACAGCATGCCCATTCAAAACATTACACATTATGCTGATATCTGTTCTGCAAACTAGGGCCTGAGTTGTGTATGCAGTTAAGTGTCCACAGTATAGAGCAATTCTGGACTTGTCTGTCAAGGGTTTGGAGTTGTGCATAAGAGTTGTATAAATGCACATGAAAGAGGAAAGCAAAGAAATACTTACCATATGGGTCAAAGTAAAATTACCCATTTGCATTTGACCAGCTCCTGTGTTGGACAGGAAGACTGGTTTCTTGTTGGATATTTTGCATGTTTAATATGTAAATTAGTGACAAGAGACCTCTTTAAATTGTGGAATTCAATTAAATGCATACATTTAGCAACGACAAGGAAACTAAATCACATTATAATCAGAAATGCAAACAGAACACATTTGCAGAATAATAAAAGTAAACGCAATTAATAAAGGAAATTAAAAGTATATTTTGAGTTCTGATGAAGAGTCGCTGCACTTGAAATGTTAACTCTGCTTTCTTCCCAGATGCTGCCAGACCTGCTGAGTTTCTCCAGCAATTTCTGTTTCAGTATATTTTGACAACAGACTACAGTCATAGAATAATATAGAAAGGAAACAGACTCTTTGGTCCCACTATTCATGCTGACTAAGTTTCCCAAACGAAATTAGTCCCATTTACCTGCGTTTGGTCCATATCCCTCTAAATCATTCCTACTCAAGTACCTGCCCAAATGTTTTTTCAATGTTGTAACTGTCCCCAATCTATCACTTCCTTTGGCAGTTCATTCCACAAACGAGTCACCCTCTGTGTGAAAAAGTTGCCCCTCAGGTCCCTTTTAAATCTTTCTCCTTTCAACTTAAAAGTACGTGCTCTAGTTTGAACTCCCCGATCCTATGGAAAAGACCTTTGCTGTTCACTTTATCTCCACCCCTCTTGATTTTATACACCTCTATGTGGTCACCCATCAACCCCCTACACTCCTGGGAAAAAAGTTCCAGGCTCTCCTTATAACTCAAACCCTCCTGTCCACATTACATGAACAAGAGCTTTTCTGCTGTTCTTAACTTTCAATTTGAAACGAGAATGTGGACTGGCAAAGAGGAGAAGTTATCAGCAACTACAATTCGAACAGTTTCCTACGCTAGAGCTCCTGGAATGAAAGTACTGAATTTGACTGCTGTAGTTTAATTACGAACGCAAAAATAACTTTTGGATCCAATGCATTTCTTTGAAGGGGAAAACGCAAGTTGAACAAATTCTCGTTGCTTTTTATTACTTTTAATAAAACATCATGATTTTATTGTTACATACTTTTGGATTTCACCGTTTTATTTTCAAATTAGATGCCGATAAAACAGCTATATACAATTGGTGGACTTAAGATCATAATAAAAGGAGATAGTCTCAGACTGCTGGCACCCTTGAAAGGTTCCCACTGCGCATGTAGAAAGTTGTGCACATGCACCGCTTTGCGAAATGCCTTGACCATAAAAAAACACAGCAGCACCCAAATAAGCTCATAAATATGAACAGGATGGAATGACATCATTGGTGGTACTGACAGGGACTGTACATGTGTGTTTTGCATGTGTACTAAGCGTGTTTTCAGGGTGTCACCAGACAGTCACAGAAATATAGAAAGCATCTGCACACTAAAGAGCTCCAAACAAGGGAGCGAGAGAGATAATTAGTTTATGGTTCAAATCATGGCAACAGACACCAAACTGTTAATGTTAATTCAAATAAAACAAGTCACCATAATTTATGACATAGTTATAGATGATCATTAAATTAAAACAAAACTAAAGTATAGAACGGGATAGTAAGGACAGACGATGCTGGAGTCAGAGATAACACAGTGTGGAGCTGAAGTATAGAATAATATATTGGTCTATGTGCAGAAATCTATTTTAGTAAAGTCTAATGCAAGAAATTAGACCTTACAAATCAGGATCTTGGGTATGATGTTAAATGGGTAATTCTAAACACTAAAAGGTTTAGACAATGTACAGATTATCACTATCTTCAAATCCAGGGCAATAATTTCACCAGCTGAGCCCAACATTAAGGCATTTTCCAATTGCTGAAGCCAGAGTTACGGTAGAGGCTGGAAGAATGCCGGAAGAATTCCACAAGTGACAACATTAAAAAATGGTACTGCTCCCAGATACCAAGACAATCAATTAAATACCTTATCTATTTCAGGTCTTAGATTAAAAGATCTATGAACTGAGTTTTTTTAATACATGAAACATTGATTTATCAAAACAAAAAACTTATTAAACAAAGGTGTGGTAACTGGTTAACATACACAGTCAGTAATATATAGGCATATTTATCCCTTTAAATAATCCAAAACACATGTACAGCCATATGCATACACTAAGGAGGAAGATTTTTCTGCAGACTTTGACCAATGTGTTTTATCAGCAAGTTAATGTGTTACTCTTGGAAGGCAAAAAGATTAAAGAGTATAATGTTCTTAAGTTTGCCGTTCTGCCATGTGCAGTCAAGACAGTAGTCAAGCATGGTTGTTTCTGAGTCTTGGTAGACATAGCTTACTAAGGAAATACAATATTGAGAATTTCTTGCGAATACCAGAAGATCAAATAATTTCACTCTGAACTCAACAAAACAGCTCTTTCCAGAAAATAGGGAAGATCTACTGGGCAGCCTTTCCTCACTGGCTTCTTGTTCCCCAACTAATTCCAAGTTACCAAAGCCCTCTCCACCCAGTTACTGTTCAAGCAGCATCAGCATGTGCCTACAGCAGAACACGCAGTTACCATTAGTCACGTGATTTCTAGGTAGCCTTTTTATGAAAGCTTCAATGTCAGCAGTGATATTTCAGTGACCTTTTCTAAAGAAATCACTCCAGATATTTCCACAAAATAAGTCAATTTTTCTGTAATACTTCAAAATTTAGGTCCTCCAAGAAATATTAAGTATCTTTGTAACAAAAGCTACTGCAGCAAGATTATCAAGATTTTGTCAAACTACAATGTTACCTAGTTTATTATTGGTTGAAGCTAATGAAAAATAGGCAAAAAATACAGTAGTAGTAACAAAAGTAAATGCGAACAAGAATACATTTAAAAGATAGGGAAAAACCTGATATAGGCCACACTCATATCCTTTCGTATTTTAGCTAATAATAGCAAGCAGAGGGGTATTTGATGACGAAAGTGTACAAATAATCTGTGAAATAATAACTGCCTCTTAGCTAATGTAAATTTCACTGCATATTTACAACATATATACAAGCTAAGAATCTGGAAATGTCATGTTATATCTGGCAGCATTACATATAAACTTCAAAGCTAAAAATCACCGTAAACCTGGCAATATAAAAATGCATTGCAACTGAGACATTAGAAACATTGATTGCAACCCAACATTTCATCTACACAAAGTAGTGTTCCCTTTTAAAATTGGATCTCCAATAATAAGTAGGTGGCTTTGCTGAAAAATGTGTTTTACACTTAGTCATGGAGAATCTTTGGTTCAATTTTCATCTCCCTGTTCCTTTCCTACAGCTGCTACTTCTAATACATACAACAGGAGTACCAAACTGAGATTGAATTCCATGACTTTGACGTTATCACAACTTAGAGCGAGCAGATTAAATTCTATTAACCTACAGACAGGTGGCGTACTTATCACAAATTGCAGTCTCCATCCCTTCCCCAAGGTATGCAGCACACAGTAGAGAATAAATTTGTGTAATGTTCTGAGATGACTGAACAAATGTATCTATCCACTGGATATGAATGCAAGAATCTCTTGTTTCAAGTTCAGATCCTGACCATTGCATTATGCAACTTTTCAATCCTTCAACAAAATGTACAATACTGCTGCTCCAGCTTACAGTCGTGATTTACAAGAACCAAATACAGCAACGTTCCAATCTAAACTGCATAATTCAAGAACTGGTTTTAGAGCTTTTGCTAGGAATGAGCTGCAATACAGAAAAACAATTCTCATACATGATATGTTTGTTTTTCCTTTTGGACAATAAAACTAAATGTTTACCCCCCAAAAAAATTTCCTATTCAGCTTCCAAAATGATTTACTAAAAGATTTAAAATGCTATCAGTCACTGGCAGTACAATGTGAAACAACAATTCTATAGCAGAAATATGTAACTCTGTTTATCATTTTAAAAATGACACTGTAGCATTAAGTGAAATCGAGAAAAGAACATTCACCTCTTCCTTAAATTCTGAAAGCTCTGAGCAAGAACCCATAGATAAAACGTTACATTTTATTAACTTCATCAATGCAATTGGTCATTCAGAAAGATTCTCCCCAAGAAGCAAGGTTAATCTCGTTGCTGTAATGCATCGTGTGAAAATGAAATACTCCCAGAATTTCTGAAGAATTTCTTCCATTTTCTGAAGGGTCCCGACCCAAAACGTCAACTTTCCTGCTCCTCTGATGCTGCCTGGCCTGCTGTATTACTCCAGCTCCGAGTGTTGCGTCTGTTACTCCCAGAATATTCTATTTTTGAATCTGGTGTATGATCTCCAGCTCTCAATAACATCTAGGCATGGCACATAATAATCAATGCAAATCTTTGAAGTTACAGAACATAGCTGTGTTCCTTTTTTTAAATTGTGTTTGGGAAGATGCCCAACTCCAAGTAGTCCAAAGCACTAGGAAGAGTCTCTTACATGTTGAAATTGGTACTCAAGGAGCAGTGCAACATGAAGTGGTTTATCAAATATTGGTGAGGCAGAAAATAAAGTGACTACAAAGTATAACTAACCTCTGGTGGTCGGGAGCATGTCAGATAACCCTTGCCACGCAGTCACCATCTCTGGATTCTTTTCCAAATCTGCGAAGTTCTTCCAAACCCGGATGGCGCCATCATCTAAAAAAAGTTACCAAGAGTTGAGATCTATAATGAAGAAAATGCTGTTTTAAAAGAAAGACAGATAAAAATCCTAAAGATTCTGACACGGTTAAAATTACAGAGCCTAGCTGACACTTCAAAATGTGGTTAATGCTGAAGTACAAAGGAAATAAATGCATATTGTGGTGTCTGATCATACGCTGACCTGTACAGTGTTGTGCAACCACAGCTAGGCTGAAGTTTAAAGGAAGATGATGATGTAATGGTAATTTTGCTGGATTTGTAATCCACAGGCACTGGGCTATTGCCTCAAATCCCATGCCAGCAGCTGGTGAAATTTAAATTAGAACTAAAATATATTCTCAGATATGGTGACCATAAAGCTATCATTGATTACTCTAAAACCTCACCTGACTCACTCATGTACATTAGTGAAAGGAATCAGCCATCCTTACCTGGACAGTGACTCCAGACCCACACCAATGTAGTGGTAACCTTAACTGCCTTAGTAAATCACTCAGTTCAAGGGCACTTAGGAATGGGAAACAGGTTCTGGAGAGAAGGTAATGGGATTAGTGGTATTATCACTAAACTATTAATCCAGAAACTCAGCTAATGTTATGGGGCCTGGGTTTGAATCTGCCATGGCAGATGGTGGAATCTGAATTCAATATATTAAAAAAAAAATCTGGAATTAAGAATCTATCAATGACCATAACCATGCAGATTGTCAGAAAAACCAATTTGTCTTACTATTGTCCTTCAGGGAAGGAAATCTGGCAACCTCACCCAGACTGGCTTACATGTGGCTCCAGATCAACAGCAACGTGGTTGACTCAACTGCCCTCTGAAATGACTGAGCAATCCACCCAGTTCAAGGGCAGCTAGGGACAGGCAATTAAAAAAATGTGCTCACTCAGCAATACTCACGTGCCACAAGTGAAGAAACAAAAACTGCTAGTGACGCCACTTCCAATGAAAGAATTTAAAAAAAGGTACAAATAGTTTCAATTGCCTCTCGATTACCCAAGTTGCATTCTGGCCTAATTTAAAACAGTTCTAATTAGTAATGAACGCTGAAGATATTTATAAAGAAAACTCACTTTCATGCAGAAATTGAACAGACCTTTAAAAACATTGGAATATGTTCAGGATCTGCACTGACTCAAATTTTCTTGGTTTATGGTCATTAGATATAAAAAACATTTTACATAACTGATGAACTGACTGTATGACTTTCATGAGATTATGAAATGCAGAATCATTAACTAATTGGCAGAATCATAACACTAATTAAAGTTTCACTGCCAATGCATCTTTTACAAATTACATAAAAACTATGAAGGTAACATTTTATTTTTGCAACACTATTTGCAGTGATTTTTCCTATTTTAAAACATGTTAAATCATGACTGGTGACCATCAGGGGAAGTGGCTGAGTGGGGTCTCCGAACTCAAAAATGAAACCATATCTCAAGACGTTACCACTCTGATAATATCATTTGCTTCTGTAAATATAGCATGATTGGAACAGATACATTATTGATAGGAGAATTTAGCAATGTGATTAACGATGCTACCAAAATTCATTTAAGACATGAAGGGGCTGTGTGATGCACATCAGAACATTCTACCACATAAAAGGTTTTATACAAACATAAATACAAGTTGTTTTTTTAAAAGCAATATACCTCAAACAAAGTTATCAGCATTTGTGCGCATTATTCCTCGTAAGTTTTATAGAGAGTTGAGTGTCAGTAACTCCTCTTGGTTGCTCAACTGTATGTTACTAACAGTCATGATTTGTGTGGTTTGTTACACTAATTTTAATTTTTACAACCTGTAACTGTAGTGATTATTTGCAAAATGCTAGATACCTTGATGTAGGCATTTCTCTGAGCACGGTTTATAGTTTCTTTTATTCATTAATGACATGTGGCTAGGTCAGAATTTATTGCCTATCCTCAATTGCCCTGGATGAGGTAGTAATGAGGTACCTTCTTGAACTGCTGCAGAGCTAGGGATGTAGGCAAACCCACAGTGAAGTTAGGAAAGGAGTTCCAGGATTTTGCTCCAGTGACAGTGAACGAAGAGTGATATACTTCCAATTCTGGATGGTGTGTGACATGGAGGGGAATTTGCATATGGCAGTGCTCCCATGCATCTGCTGAACTTGACCTTCTAGGTGGTACAAGTTGTGCGCTTTGGAAGGTATATTTTGCGTAAAGCGTTTAGCTCTGGAGCAGTTTGAATGTTGGCCAATCAATTTACCTTGTTAAAATATTTATCACTGAGTACTCGCCCTTTTTACGGTTGCTTATAACTTGCATCCAATTAATATTCTGGACAGTACGTTGTGGAATACAAGTTCACTGTGGTAATTCTTCTGTATAACAATTGGGAAGGCGTACTTCTGTGGAGTTAATCATGGAATGAATAAATGTAACTCTACAGGCAGAGTGAAAATGAGAAACCATTACAGTTGCGAAAGAACTATTAGCTCCCTAAAACAAAAAGCCTCATTTTATTGTGAATCAAACAAGAATCATTCATATGTGGATCAAACTTAACAACATGGAAAATACTTTAAATACATTTGGATGAATAATAATTATTATTGTATTTAAAAGTAGACAAACGTAATTATTCTGCATGTAGGCAATTAGACACCAGTTTCTTTTATAATTTTTGAAGGGTGTGCAAGTGGTATCACTCAACTGGTGTCTGAGGTGCCAAAACAGCAGTGTTCTGAAGAAGGGTCACTGGATCTGAAACACTAAGTCTGTTTTTCTCTCTCTACAGATGCTGCCAGACCTTCTGAATTTTTTCTGAAATTTCTGTTTTGTTTCAGATTTCCAGCACCCACAGTTCTTTGTTTTGTTTTCTTTTGTGCATTTGAAAGCTTGCACTGTGCATCTTCCATATCTTTGAGATCTTTCAATTGTCTCCATATCATTATTTTATGCAAAGCAAACTAAACTCTCATCAGAGATAGTAGCAACTGCAGATGCTGGAGAATCCGAGACAACAAGGTGCAGAGCTGGATGAAAACTCTCATCAGTACTTTGTACACTATTATTACCCCTCTTTAGAACTCTATGGCTCCTAAACATCCAATATTCTACTTTCTTGATTTTCTAAACTTGTTCTTGAAATGTGTACATTACTGACTAGACCAGTATTAACTGCCTATTCCTCATTGCCCTTAAGAAGGTGGTGTTGCGCTGCCTTCCTTAACCACTGCCATTGTACATGGGTGATGAAGGGATAGAATACTGACTGCTTGAAGGGGTACCAATCAAACAATAACTGCTTTGCCCTGGACGTTGAGTTTCTTGAGTATTTTTGGAGCTGCACTCATCCAGGCAAGTCACACTCATGACTTGCGCCTTGTAGATAGTGGACCGAGTTTGGGGTGTCAATTTAAAATCTATGTTGTAGGAACTTGTATATTCTGGCAGCAATGACAGCAGAATAAAAACCAAGTTCTGAGGAAGGGTCACCGGACCCAAAACGTTAACTCTGATTTTATTTCACAGATGCTGCCAGACCCTTTGAGCTTTTCCAACAACTTCTGTTTTTGCTCCTGATTTACAGAGTCCACGGTTCTTTCAGTTTTTATTCAGTATTTAACTGCCACATTCGTTTTAGGCATGGCCAATTTGAACAAGTTCTGCTCCTCTGTCCAACAGGGTTTCTGTTCCAATCTTTTTCTTGTCCACAAACATTAATCTCACTGTCACTCCTGGTGTTTGACCAGATATTTGCTAAAACTCATTTCCACAGCCATATCACATTCCTCAGTGACTGCCTCCGGGTCAGACACATGCCACGTGGATTCTAACTCAGGTTTTATCTCTTGTGCCTTGAATCCACTTTGGATGATAGGCATCTCCGTGATATTCAACATACAGCTCCTCTCGCTGCATCCTGAGATCCACACTCAGTGTCATATGGCACCACATGCACACCCTTGGTCTTTCTCTCCAACAGCATCGCAACACACTGGCTCAGGGTTGCACCACTCCGCACAGTTCCACTTCATCCTCCGGCTCATTTGCCTGGCTAACCAGAAACTTTTTCTTTTCCTTTCAGGCATCAAGACTCACAAGATGCAACAACTTAGAGATACCAATGACCTTCTGGAACCTTCCTCCCCTCCCCTTCACGCTGACTCTATCCCCTGCCCCAACCCCACCTCCTGTTGGGTATTGACCATCCCTCCTAACCTTCCATTCTCCAATGCTGAACGTTCTGTACTCAGCAAACGGGTCAGGTATATTCCTCTGTGTCCCCACCTGAATAAATTTCGGGCATGAAATGACGTTGAACTCTTCTTCCACTGTCTTCGCCTCTGTGCCCCTTTCTTTGGGCAAGAGTCCTCTCCACATCCCACATACCCCTTTACCCAGTTCCAATACTCTCCTTCCTCCTGGAAACCTACCTCTGGCCTTCTACCTGCACTCAATCGGTTCATTGAGAACTGTCAACGTGACATTGATCGCCTCAATTTCTCTGCCCACCCCCCACCCCCACTCAATCCAATCTATCTCCCTCTGAATTGACTGCACTCCGTGCGCATCGATCCAACCCTGACTTTGTCATTAAGCCTGCCGATTAGGGGGGTGCTGTTGTAGTCTGGCATACTGACCTCTACATTGCAGAGGCTTAGTGCCAGCTCTCAGATACCTCCTCCTATCTTCCCCTGGACCATGACCCCACCATGACACATCAAGCTATCGTTATCAACTATGATAACTGACCTCATTTCATCTGGTGATCACCCCTCTCCACTGCCTCCAAGCTGATAGTCCACCAGCCCCCACACAGCTTGCTTCTACCTCTTTCCAGTTTTGAGGAAGGGTCACCAGACCCGAAATGGTAACTCTGATTTTTCTTCACAGATGCTACCAAACCTACTCAGCATTTCCAGCAACATGTTTTTGTTGTTGTTAATGAAAGCAGAGTCTCTTTGCCTCAAAGGAAAACCATTTCTTTGTTGAAGGTTTCCAGCAAAGAAACTTAAATTTCTTCAGATATCGTGAGATGAACATTGCTATTTCCTACAACCATTTCAAAATACAATATTAAACAAAACCATCAGTGAATAGCTTTGAACCCAGAACAGAACTCGGAGAATCTTACATAGTCAGATTTCAAATTATAACTCAACATGGAAAGGTTTTTAACTTTCACAGAAATATACTAGAATGGAGTGAATACATCTCGATCAATAATATGCACTTCAGAAAAATATGAGTAATCTAACTATAATTGTAAATATGAAGTTTTGATTGTTTAATAATCTGAAATGCACTGATTGACAAATGAAATTAATAATGTCAGTGTATGACGTAATACAATATGCATAGATGTACTGTGCAATGGAGGAAAAAGGTCTAAGTTCACATTTTATCTCTTTCAGTTGCAAAGCATAAAGAGTCACAATCGATACTGAACTACCACTGGCATTCCCCTAACTTGCCTGACCATCATCTACAAGGCACAAGTCAAGGGTATGATGGAATACTCCGTACTTGCATGACAAGTGCAACTCCAACAACACTCACGAAGCCTGGTACCATCCATGACAAAGCAGCTCACTTGGTTGGCACCACATCCACAAATCTAAGCACGGAACTCCATCCACCAAAGACACATTGTGGCAGTATTTACCATTTACAAGACGCACTGCAGCAACTCATCAAGGTTCTTTTGACAGCACCTTCCAAACCTGCGAGCCTCATCACTTACAAGGTCAAGGGCAGCAGATGCATCGGGGCACAGCCACCAACACAGGTTCCCCTCCAAGCCACACACTGTCCTGACTTGGAACTGTATTACTGTTTTTTCAACGTTACTGGAACTCCCTCCCTAACTGTCCTGTGGATGCCCTCACACCAAAAGGACTGCAGCGGTTCAAGAAGGCAGTTCACCATCTCCGCAAGAATAATTCAGAATAGGCAATAAATGCTGGCCTAGCCAGTAATGCTTACATCCCATGAATTAAAGAAAACAAAAATATATTTATTTACAAAAGTTAAATATCAATTACTATTTTCACATGAAATAAGGTTTACAAGTTTCATGCTGAAAATAAACCTCAAAATAATTTCACAATATTGCTTCAATTCTCTGCAAAAGATTGCAGATACATGTAATTTTCACAGCTCAGAACTTCTGATATCAAATCCTTAGACTTCAAAACAGCATTTGTTGCATTTGGAAAGTTCCAATAATTTTTTGTTCCTAAAGGAGAGTTACTTTACTTCAATAAAACATGCTTTTGTGTGTGATGCTTTAGGTGGAAGAAAGAATGAACAAAAGAGGACCATAATTATATATCACAGAGAAACACAGGCCCATGAGAAATGCAGGAAGAAAAGGATAAAGTTTAAAAAAAAAAGTAAAATAATTCTGTGGTGACATTCTGAAACAGGAATCTTTGAAATACAGTTTCTCATAAATATGGTCACATTATCAGCACTGATTTTGTCTGTCACTATCAAAGGATGCAAAAATACTGGTTTTAGAAGAGTAGAGTGACAAGCTGAATCTTGAGTTATGGTTAAATCATAACAGCAACATCATTTCACAGGATCATTATTCCCGCGACACCTTAACACAGTCATCTCAAAACTTCATGCCCTATACCTCATGCAGTCAGCAGTAAATGCCCAGCTATGGACTGACACATCAATGATTAGGAGTGTAGGCAATCTGCCATGGGGTTCATATTTTACATCTTTAGAGTTACTTCACCTGTGGCAGAGAGGAGCAGAGAGAAATCCTGTCCATTCAGATATTCCATTGCAGTGATCCGGGTGTATCGGGGATTCCCATTGTGGAAATAGTCAAGTTTTTCTCCTTTCTCCCAATCCCAAAAGCTTCAATGAAATAACAAAACATGAATCAAAAAGCTGAATTAGTTAGAATAACTTGGTGTTGAAATAATTTACTACAGCCAAAGCTGCTCTTACCATATACTGTCTTTGTCAGCCACTGCTATACATGGAGTAAAAGGATGAAACTTCACCACAGAAGGGACACCTGGGTTTCTGTTTATAAAGATCTGGTCATCTAATCTTGTGATACCTAGTTATGGAGAAAAATGGCTAAATTCACAAAAGAAATCACAGCCTTTTAAGAAAAGTACAGTGAAATCAGAGAATTAAATTCAGCTAATTCAAAGCTCCGGTTATAACGAAGATGTCATCCACTCAATGACCAATAGAAAATCCAACAGAAAAGGCGCCAGTGATGAACCAAAATTTTGAATTGGCAATTCCAGGTTAGCCAAATTCGTGAAATCTTGTCATATGACCATACCAACCAATCAGACTGGATGAAATCATGGGGAAGCCTACAGCAATGCGAATAAAAGGTGTCATCCACATCCTGAACAAGAGTGCATTCAGAGACAATTTTAACATAGGTGAACCTGTTTTACTGTCTATTGCCAGGTCATATTTAAAGATGAAACAAGTAACGGGGAGAGCAAGGCAGAGAATGTGTCACTGTCATGATCTGCACCAACATGGATGGCATTGAAAAGCTACCAATTCTTTTGACAGAAATCATCAAGAGTTCATGTCTCTTTACAAATCTTAAGATCCTATCCACTCAGTATGTGGCTCACAAAATGTCCTGGATGATCTCTAGCACTTTTGAGGCATGGATCAGGAAAATGGACAAAATGCATCAAGAGGAGATTTTTAGCCCAGTGCCATGGAACAGTACAATAAAAAGCCCTCCCACCCACCTCCCTAGCTGAAGCTGCACAGGCTGGAGAAATGTTATTCCAGGATTTCATACCGCCACACGAAAACATGTTTGATCACATGACACACCATTTCAAAGACAACACATTCAGCAGAAAAAGGTTAGTTTTTCCAACGCTAACACTCCATGTTTCTCAAAAGACTTTTACTGTATAGGGTTTGGTGCCATTGTAACATCTCAGTGCTTTGGAAAATAAAGGCATTATTTCATAAATTTGCTGCATCACTGTTCTCATTTTTGTTTTTGACATACAGCAGAGTTGCATCAAATGGGTTTACATAGAGACTTCCTCAGCTACCTCAAAGCTCTGCTTAACACAGTTTGTGGGCAGCTCCCCTGCATTTTGACGTAGTGATTTTACTGTAGGCATAAAACAGCTTTCATGCTCTGAATAGTTAGTAATGTAAAACCACCCTGAATAGAATTCCTGAAGGCTGCTGCGGAGGCATGGGGAGGACCTGAATTATGTTTCTAAGCTGGAAGTGCCTGAAATGGAAAAGGCCAGTAGCTGAATAACTAGTTAGATTCTTAGTAAGGGCTCATTCTGAAGAGAAAAACGACACGACCAGTAGAGCTCTCGGAAGGATCAATGGAAGCATGCACTCGTTTAGTAAATGGGCACTCGATCAAATGACAGCTTTTCCTGCTTTGTTCCTGGAAGACGTAGATCAGACTGAAAATGGGAAAATTGAGTTCAGAGGATTGTACACAAAAAACAGTACAGCACAGGAACAGGCCCTTTGGTCCTCCAAGCCTGTGCCGACACATTTTGCCCTTCGATACTAAAACTGCCTTCACTTACAGGATCCGTATGCCCCTATTCCTTTCCTATTCGTGTATTCGTCCAGGTGCTTCTTCAATGCTGCTACTGCGTTTGCTTCCACAACCTCTTCTGGCAGCACATTCCAGGCACTCTCAAAGCTTTTGTGTGAAAAACTTGCCTCGCACACCTCTTTTAAACTTGCCCTCCATTGCACCTTGAACCAGTGTCCACAAGTAACTGACCCCTCCACCCTGGGAAAAAGCCTCATACTTTCTACTCTATTCATGCCATTCACAAACTTATAAATTTGTTTTAGGTCGCCCCTCAACTTAGTGAAAACAAACCCAGTCTATCCAACCTTTCCTCAAAGCTAAAATCCCCCATACCAGGCAACACCCTGTAAGCCTTTTCTGTACCCTCTCCAGAGCATCCACGTCCTTCTCGTAGTGTGGTGACCAGAACTGGATGCAATATTCCAAGTGTGGCCTAACTAAAGTTCTATAAACCTACAGCATAACTTGTCTATCCTTTTACTCAATGACCCTTCCAATAAAGGCAAGCATGCCATAGGCCTTTTTTTAAACTACCATATCTACCTGTGCTGCCATGTTCAATGATCTGCAGACCTGCACACCCAGATCCCTCTGCATGTCAATACTCTTGAGGGTTCTGCCATTCACTGTAATAATTTCCACCTGTACTTGATCTTCCAAAATGCATCACCTCCCATTTATTTGGGTTAAACTCCATGTGCCATTTTTCTGCCCATGCATCCTACTGATCTATATCCTGCTGTATCCTCTGACAATCCTCCTCACCATCCACAACTCCACCAATCTTTGCATTGTCTGCAAACTTACGAGTTAGACCAGCCATGTTTTCCTCCAAATCATTTATGCAGACCACGAACAGCAGAGGTCCCAGCACTGATCCCTCTGGAACGCCACTAAGCACAACCCTCCATTCCGAAAAGCATCCTTCCACCGCTACCCTCTGTCTCCTTTGTCTAAGCCAGTTCTGTATCCATCTTGCCAGCTCACCTGTGATACCAGGCCACTTCATCTTTCGTAGCAGTATGCCATGAGGGACCTTGTCAAAGGCTTTACTGAAGTCCATGTATACAACATCAACCACTTTTCCCTTATCAATTATCTTTGACACCGCTTCAAAGTTAGTTAAGGCAGTCAAGTTAGTGAGGCATGACCTCCCCCGCACAAAACCATGCTGTCTAATGTTAATAAGTCCCTTTGCTTCTAAATGCAAATAGATCTTGCCCTGAGAATCTTTTCCAATAATCTCCTTGCCACTGACTTGCAAATAAGCTCTTGAATGAATGGATGGAAATTCAAGTGGGGTTTGTAACAGGCATGCGATCCTCTCCACGGAGCTTCCTCAATGTGCTGCACACATGTAATCCAAAAGGATAAAGCTCACAACACTCAATCTTTAATAATATCCCTTAAATTTCTCTCAGCATCTCCAAAGCAGCAATTCTGAGAATGAGATGTTTGTTTAATTTTGACCTAAGTGCGACAACTGACTAATTTTCTTCAATCTCTTGATTAGATGGGTTTAGACCTGAAGCATTAATTCTGTTCCTCTCTACAGCAGCTGCCTGACTTGCTGAGGGTTCCAAGCACTTTCATGCATTTATTTCAGATTTCCAATATCTGGAATATTTTGCTTCTGTATTAGTAAGTCCCAATATTGCGAAGTTAAATAATAAAACATACTTCCACTGTAATATGCCCTATTAAAATTAATTATTATATTAATTGCACCTAGAATATAGCTCACCTTTCTCTATAATCCAACCAGCTCGTTTTCTAACACGTCCATTACGTAGAAATCTCCATTCGCGTTCCTTCCGAACCAGGCTTTCAACATCATGCTCCTCTGGAATCTGAACAGAACAAGGGCACAATTAGCATAAAATCCACATTAAACAGATCAAAGGGTTTTTTCCCCCAAGAAACTGCATTTGCAGCGTCAGCCACAGCTTGCCAAATTATAAGTGATTACAATAGTTAAGTGCTCGTTTTGGACAGGTGCCAACTCAACGGACTGAAGGTCTTTTTTCTGTATTGCGGATTTCTATGACACAGAATGATGCCAAAAAGACTGGCAGGCAATTTAATAAAATCTGAACTTTTAAAACCAAACTTAACTGAGATCTTAATTGTAGCAATATAGCTGAAGCGCCTAGTGCGGACTTCCAACATACACTGAAAGATGCAGGTGTTTTTAACTTCTGCAATTGAAGTTAGTGGAGAGGAAACCAAATTATTAAATAAATTAATGCGTTAATTACAGTTGACTGCTATTAACCAACAGCTCCTCACTCAAAACACATGGTCAAAAAAAGCTGAGGTGTATTACAAAGCGGAAGTCAATCCCCCCCAGCCCCCGTCCCCCACCCCGGTAACTAAAATCGAAACACCAAACGATGTGTGCCTCACCCTGTAACCTGTTAAAAGAGCTCCACTCTGGTAAAAAGGAGTGGTTAAATAAAAATAAACTCCTGACACACACTTTACAAGTAACAAGTAACAAATTGTTTATCTAACTCTAACAGTGAACAAGCTATTAACAAACCAAACACCCCTTTCTAAATACGAACTATCCCTGAATAAAACAAGATTCTGCTGGTATGCTGCTCCAATAAATACAAGTCCCACTTATATAGAACAAAAAAAAAATTAGTCTCTTGAAATTATAGCCAGGTTACATCTTCTGGAACGTTCTGCCTCTTCTCCAACGAATTCTTCTGTCACGAACACCTTCTCCTTCTCCACATTAACTACATGTGCCTTAGGTATGTCTAATTTAGATGGAGCTTACTTTAAGACTTAGAGAATTCTTTGACAGCCAGTGATTCTTTTAGAGTTGAGAGCTGTTCTCTTGGTAGATGGTAGTTGGCTTCCCCTACCACCCTGATTTTCCAAATGCCCTCATCTTTTATACCATCGATGACCTATTTCTTATAATAGGATCGGTCCTATATTGTCAAAACCATCAGATTTAAAATTAATTGGTTTTTGGTATCTAAGGGCCTGGTTTAAATTAATTTTTAAATAAATTTAAAAGCCTATTGTCTTGGTAAAAATGCTGCTTTACCTGCTAACAGTATAGCCTTTTGATACAAATGTTTCAATTCAGGTGCTCTGTGAACCTGCAAACCCACAAACTGCTGCTGCTCACAGACATCCTTTTTACAACTCTAAGCATAGAAAAGGCACAACATCTCTTAAAGGGCCCACATGCTGTTTTCCCCCCCGCCAAGTATTTTACACACACCAAATTCTAACTTCCTGCCTTTCAATCCATGAGTACTCTACCCAACTTCACAACAGGTGAAACATTTAGAAATAATATTTGAAGGAGGAAAATGGGTGAGCATGTTTCCTGTCTTGCCTCAAATGGACAGAAGAATGAAAGGTTGAATCTATTTGTTGAAGGGATGTGAATGAGACTGGCTACGTCAACTCATCCCTAATTGTCACGGAAATGGTTTATTGAGCTGCCTTAATGAAAAGCTGCTATACTTTGGGGTGTAGGGACACCACTGTAGTGTTAAGAAAGGACTGAAGGTTTTGGATCCAGCAACAATGAAAGAACAGCATTATAACTCCAAGCCAGGATGGTGAATAGCTTGCAGGGGAACTTGCACATACCAACATATCTGCTGAACTGGCTATTCAAGTTGATAAGAGTTCAGAGGTTTGACAGGTGTAAAGGTGAGTTACTGCAGTGCATCTTGTAGATAGTATACACTGCTGCTACTGTGCATTTGTAGGAGTATACCCCCAAGTCAGAAGGCAGGCAGGATTCAGGTAAGTGGGAGACTTTTATTCAAGCAAGAACTGGTTAATACAGGGACAGGACTAAAGAATCTGGCCTTGATGTGAGAACTCAATTATTCCCCTAATCTTTGGCTCAGATTGGAAGAGAGATCAATAACACACTTTGATCTTTACAGTGAAATTCAGCATTTTTATACATTTTGTGTTACAATAATTAAATACAGCATGAACACTATCCTGCCCCCTTAATCAACACACCCAACTCCATGGGACACCTAACCAATAATGGGCACTCCTATGGACAACCCCAGGTTCCTGTGATCTTGTGTTTATGAGACATTGTAATCTCCATGCCTTGGGATCTATTCATTCGCATTCCAAAGTTACTGGTTATACTCCTCTGTATCTGTCTCAGATTTACTTACCTCTAAGCACAGTTTGAATTGTATTTCATGTGCTTACCTTTATCAAATTCAGTTATTCTTTTTATATTTCTCATTGTTCAAATTATACATGTAAAAGTACAAAAGACAGTTTTAACTAATTGCAAAAGGTTAACTTCTGTTATAAGGTTAGTTATAAAGTCTAAAATTATCCAGCTACTTCTACTGTTAGCACTTCGTAATTAATATTGTGTTGACAATCTATTTTGTTCAGGGCGTAAGAGAAGGCATTTCCGAAGACTAATTAACTTTCACATCTATGTTTAAGTGCTTTTTTTTGCCCTAATGCTTGTATCATACTTTGGTTACATGTGTATCTATCCTTTATGTTGAAAACTACTTCCTATGATTATGTGAAGTATCTTTAACTAGAACCTATTTCTTAATATTGCGAATAACGCCAAAGAAACAACTATTTACTACAAAATAACTTTAGCTGTTGTCTTTGCAGCTGCTTAGGGAGTTAACCTGGCTGGTTCATGGGCTGAGACTCACACGTGGTGTTAATCATTTACTGGGACAATCATCCTTTCATTAATGAAGCTGGAATCCATTGCTTGTCTAACCTTAGGCATCCTCTTATCAGAACTGTCTCAGATGGTTGCTTGCAGGTCTCCTTTTCTGACCTTGGAGTGCTCCTCTTCAAAGGTACCATTATGTTTCACTGTGTGAACAGGCTGTCTATTTTTGCTTAGTTTTTTCTGCCATTTTGTAAGCAGGCATGGGCCGCTTAGTATAGGCATGTAATGGTCAGAGGTATATACAGAGTAGACAGCCAGAGACTTTTTCCTAGGGCGGAGGTAGCTTTTATGAGGGGACATAGTTTTAAAGTGAAAGGAGGTAGATAATCGGGGAGACGTCAGAGGTAGGTTCTTTACTCAGAGAGTGGTAGGGGCGTGGAATGCATTGCCGGAGAGGGTAGTGGAGTCGGCCTCATTAGGGGCATTTAAGCAGCTATTAGATAGGCATATGGATGATAGTATAAGGTAGCGGTGGAGGTCAGATAGATCTTAGGTTTCGGGTAAAAGTTTGGCACAACATCGTGGGCCGAAGTGCCTGTACTGTGCTGTACTGTTCTATGTTGCACAACATTGATGGCGAAGGGAGTGAATGCTTGAAGGTGATGGATAGGCTGCTGACCAAGCAGATATAACAGTGTGTGGAGCTGGAGGAAAACAGCAGGCCAGGCAGCATCAGAGGAGCAGGAAAGTTGACATTTTGGGTCGGGACCCTTCTTCAGAAGGGAGGGTCTGAAGAAGTCCATTTCTGAAGAAGGGTCCCCGCCCGAAACATCACCTTTCCTGCTCCTCTGATGCTGCCTGGCCTGCTGTGTTCCTCCAGCTCCACACTGTGTTATCTCTGACTCCAGCATCTGCAGTTCTTACTATCTCTGCCGACTAAGCAGGTTGTTTTGTCTTCGATGGTATCAGGTTTCTTGAGTGTTGTTGGAGCTGCACCCATTCAGACAAGCATAGAGTATTTCATCACATTCCTGAGTTACGTCTTGTAGATGGTGAACAGACTTTGGGGAGACAGGAAGTGAGTTGTACACCACAGAATTCCTAGCATCTGACCACCTCCTGTTGGCACAGTATTTATATGATTGGTCCAATTCAATTTGTGGCTAATGTTAACCTCCAGGTGTTGATGGTAGGGGAAATGCCACTGAATCTCAAGGCATTAATTTCTCTTTTGTTTAGCTGGTAATTGTCTGGCACTTGTGTGGAGCAAATGTTACTCATCAACCGAAGCCTGGATATTGTTCAGGTTTTGCTGCATGGCCAGCCTCAGTATGAGTAGTTTTGAATCGCACTTTTTGAATGGCACAAAGTGGCACCTTTTGAATGGCACAAAATTGCGTGATCATCAGCAAGCATCACCACTTCAAACTTATGATGGAGGGAAAGTCATTGGTGTAGCAGCTGAAGGCATTTGGGTCCAGGATACTACCCTGAGGAACTCCTGCAGAAATGTGCTGAGACTGAAATGATTGGCTTTCAACAATCATAATATCTTCCTTCATGCCCTGCAGAACTCCAACCAGTGGAGAGGATTCCCACTGACTCCAACTATGCTATGCTAACATGTAGATGACTTAGTTATTACTTACTTTAAATTTTTACAGTTCTTTTCTCTACCTTGCAAAGCTCGTTATCTACCAGCTTATTGTTTCAGTTTATCAGTGCTTGTCAGCACCTTGCTCAAGTTGTTGGGTCTTCACTTATAAACTAAAGGCTCATGGATTTTCCTCCACAATACTACCTAAAAGTTGGCAGCAACGATGGTGGTGAAGAAGGGAAGAGGAGACAAATGAGGTCTATCGCTACATTCCCACCAGTAAAAGTTATGATTCTCTTACATACCCAGAACAGATCTTGGCCAGCCACCCCATTTGCATTTAAGCCAAAACAAGACAGGGAAACCAGAGAGAACAGTCCATTTTTCTGCGAGTCTACAATTACTCTATCAATTCTAGAAGAACTGGTAGGTGCAAAAAAGCCTGCTGATCATTCCACAAGACACTACATAACCTTGATGATTAACAACATTAAAACAATTTATGCATCAATCGCACAAGTCAAATGTGATTAACTGACTGCACTATTAATAACCAATTAAAGCACAGCATAGACTGCTGCTTGCATGAACATAGCAAATAAAATATAATGCCTCGCTGAATGCAATTAGCACTGAGCTACTAACACTGTTCCGTACAAAATGAAATTAAACATTAAAAGGTAACCATTAATTTTCACCAGACCAAATATATAAAATCACATTTAAATTAAAAATGCCAAAACACTGAAAAACTAAGACAAGTTTTGATTACTTTGAAACAGTTTTTGAAAACGTTTCAAAAGTAAAAGCCTAAAAGGATCAGTAAATAACCAACATAGAAAAATTAATGCAAGGTCCACACGTTATTGGGATTCTTTGTAGACTGCTGGCATTCATTAGATCAGCTATTGAAAACGTGGTAAGAACAAGTGAAATATCATGCAGAGGGAATGCAAATGTACTGTTTCTAAATTTGGAGACAGAAATGAGAACTATAGGTTATATACTCTGATCTGTCAGGTTCAAGAAGGAATGTCCTCCGTCGCTTGTTTCTAAAATGTTCAGAAGTTCATTTTCTGATTTAAAGAGATCTTTAGCTCTACAATAATGAGGGTCTGCACCAGACATAAAAAGACAAACAGATGCTATATAAATCCAAGTTGTTCTTTCTTGGTGCCTTACATGACCGTTGACTATAAAACACTTTGGGACATCCTGACACTTTGGGACATCCTGAGAGATACTTTGAAATGTAGCAATTCTTGTATAACATGAAACTGTAAGCACTTGCAAACAGCAAACTTGCATAAACAGTGATGAGATAAATGACCAGATAAATTACTTTCATGACACTGATTAAGGGATATCTTTGAGTCAGACATTAGAGACACCCCTGCTGATCTTCAAAATATCATAGGATTGCTAATGACTACTTGAGGTGCCAACTGGGACTTCAGTTACACACCTTGTCCTAAAGCTGGACACCCAACCAGACTGCAATATAGAAGTTGTCAAGTATGTTTTGGTAATATCATCCGAGTAAGTAAATTACTTTCCACTGCACTGAGTATTGAGACAAGGAGTGGATTCACAAGATTGACTTGCAGGTTTTGAGTGTTTTTACAGTTAAAAATAATTTGGAAAGTTAATAAAGCAGTCAAATGCCAACTACACTGATCCTGAAAAACAAAGATAGCTAATTGTGTGTTCAACTCGGAAAAATAGTTTTCCAAATGATGTGTGCATTGCACAGCACCTCGTCTCTAAAGCCATGAGCCCATAAGCAACTTCTGTTTTTTGGGGGGGGGATGTGGTGTCACTGGTATGGACAATGTTTATTGCCCATCCTTAGTGAGATGAGATAGTTAGCTGCCCTCTTCAACTACTGCATCCCATGTGCTTCACTTATTAGTACGTTTTTCCAATGGAGAGGGTTCAATTCCTGCATTGGCTGATGTTCCCATGAAGGACTCTCCTTCTCACCCTCTCCCCTTGACTGATGGGTGGTGACCCTCAGGTTGAGCCACAAACAATTGTCTCTCTCTCTCTCTCTAGTGGGAGAGCCTTATGGTCTGGCAGGGCTATGGCAAGTTTAAAGAAGGGAACTGAGGAAGGGTCACTGGACCCAAAACGTTAACTCCTGATTTCTCTTCACAAATGCTGCTAGACCTGCTGAGCTTTTCCAGTAACTTCTGTTTTTGTTTGAAATCTGAGGGCAGTTTTGGGTCCCATATCTAAGGAAGGACATGCTGGCCTTGGAAGGTATCCACAGGAGGTTCATAAGATCAATCCCAGGGATGAAAGGAAATGAGGAGTGGTTGAGGACTCAGGGTCTGTACTTGAAGAAGTTTAGGAGAATGAGGGAGGAATTCATTGAAACTTACAGAATATTGAGGGGCCTGGATAGGGTGGATGTGGAGAATATGTTTCCACTAGTAAGAGAGACTAGGATCCAAGGGCAGAGCCTCAGAGTGAAGGGATGACCTTTTAGAACTAAGATGAGGAGGAATTTCTTCAGTCCTGTGGTGGTGAGCTTGTGGAACTTAATGCCACAGAGCCTGTGGAGGCCAAGTTATTAAGTGTATTTAATAGATAGATAGGTTCTTTATTAGAAAGGGGGTCAAGGGTTACAGGGAGAAGGCAAGAGAATGGAGTTGAGAAACATATCAGCCATAATTCAATGCCAGAACTAACTCAATGGGCTGAATAGCTTAATTCTGTTCCTATATCTTATGGTATTTTGGACTAATACGTAGGATCAGATTCGTCTTGCATTTTGTAGACCATACCAGGGCAATTTTCCACATTGTTGGGTCGATGTCAATGTTGTGGCAGTACAGGGACAGCTTGGTGAGAGGTGTAGCTAGCTCTGGAGCGCCCTTCTTCAGCATTATTGCCAGAATGTTGTCTGCGTCAGCATTCTCTCTAAGCTGTGCAGTAGTGCAGCCTCTTTAATGTTCCATGCGTGCCATTTGGTGTGCTGCCACGTTAACATCTGGCTTCAGAGATTGCTGCTGTACTGGATTTCAGAGGTTGGCACATCAAAAAATAGAATCAGAGGGGGTATTGATTAGGGCCCATTGCCTTTGCAGTATCCAGTCCCACCAACCATTTCCTGATATCATGTGGAGTAAATGGAATTGCTTAAGCTGGGATCTGTGATATAGGGATCTTTGGACGAGGCTGGACTGCAGCGATTTGATCTGGCCCATGGGTTGTAGAATTGCTTAGCTCTATCATTTGTTGCTTTTGCTAATTGGCAAGCACGTAATTCTGTTTTGTAGCTTCACCAGGTTGACCTTCATTTTTCATATGCCCGCTGCTGCTCCTGACCTGTCCTCCTGCACTCTTCGCTGAACCAGGGTTGATGTTAATGGGGATATGCCTGGCCATGAGGTTATCGATTGTGTTGGAGTTCAGTTCGGCTGCTGATGGCCCAGAGTACATTATGGATGCCCAGACGTGAGCTGTTGTATCTAGTCTACCCAATTTAGCGCACAGTGATAGTGCTACTTTGGTGATTAACATTGACCTTCCCCACGAGGAGTACGTTCTGCACCTTTGCTACCCTTAGTGCTTCTCCAAGTGGTGCTCAACATTGAGGAGGACTGATCATTAACAAAGGGCAGATGGTACTTGATAATCAGCAGGCAGCTTCCTTGCCCATGTTCGGCTTGATGCCATGAGACTTCACGATGTCCAGAGAAATTCCATGGTAACTCCCTCTTGACTGTGTGCCTTTGTGCCACTACCTCTGCTGGGTCTGCCTGCTGTTGGGGCAGCACATACCCAGGACTGGTGATAATTTTGTCTGACTCGGTGCGCAAGGTACGATTCTGTGAGTATGATGACGTCTGAGAGACAGCTCTTCAAATTTTGGCACAAGCCTCCAACTGTCCTAACTTTGCAGGGTTGAGTTTGCCATCATTAATTCTTGTGCTTAGGTTAATGCCAGGTGGTCCGTCTAGTTTCATTCCTTTAAGATTTTTTAGCAATTGATACAACTGAATGGCTGGCTAGACCATTTCAGAAGGCAGGTATGAGTCAACCACATTGCTGTGACTATGGAGTCAAATATAGGCCAGACAAGCCAAGGGTGAGTTTTCCATCCCTAGAGAACATGAAAGAACCAGATTGGTTTTGATGACAATCAACAATGGTTTAATGGTCATGAAACTTTTAACTTCGGGTTTTTATCAAATTCAAATTCTGATGTGGTGGGATTCAAACCTGGGTTCTATTAGCCTTACCCGAGTCACTGCATTACGAATTCAGCAACAAAACAATCATGCCCTTGTCTCTTCACAAACATGGTGATTAATGCACAACTATGAGATTGCTGGTAAAGGGTGTAGTCTATTCTTGTGTGTTGCAGATAGTATGTGGTGAAGCATTTCATTCGACTTATGCAAAGCTCAGAGTTGCTTCAGTTGAGTGCTTTAACATCCCTCTTCATGTATATTTTACAATAGTTACATAAATTTGCAGCCATGACAGCACTGCAATGGTACACTCTGGTTTCCTGAATGTTCCATTTATCAGTTATCAAAATACTACCTGCTAAAAATTGTAATGTTATAATTCATTGATTCTGTCTGGATTAAAATCATGTTTTGTCTAAAAAACCTATTTAAATTATTTTTCACAGAATATTTTTTGTGGCATATTTTACAACTCACTGCACGCTCGAACAAAATCTCAAAGGTCAATGCTAACATCTTGGTTAAGCCAACTCATTCAAAGGTTGTGTTGATGGATGTCTTTTTATTTAAAGCCCTTTATATGGCTTAATGTCCTGGACAAAATTCTCTCATGGCTTCACAGCAATTATAGAAAAGTATGCATATTTCAACATCATCTGCAAGAATATTCAGTTACTGAAGTCTGTAAGGAAAACAGGGCTGTCAGTGGATTCATTACAGTGAGCTGTGACACACTTGTACTCAGGTCTACACTCCACGTGTTCATTTCACCACTAAATAGGTTAGCACAAGGGCACAAATTCATAACCACTTCTCTAAAGCACAACCACAAGCTGAGTTCACAATCTCACTGAGCAGGATAGGAATGGGATGGAGCTTGAAAAATGTTAGTAACATGGAGTGACACAGGATTTAAGGCTTTATTCTTAAACATGAAATTGAGTAATGGCACCCAGTTCCCAGGGTCCATGATACAGAAATGGGCAATTCAGTATCATTTTCAACCAAACTGGTAGTCTACTCAAAGGAGACAATAAGATGGAAAACTTTCTTCCCGATTCCATCATCATGGAACTATATACAAAAGGCTGAGAATATGACATATGACAAGTAGATTTCCACACTAAGTGCCAAAGATGTAAAATAGCCCATTCCTTAGCCACGCTAGCCTCCACCACAATGGTCCTACTACTGTATTGATATACAATAACCAAGGGACTCAACCTAAAGTTATTGCTTACATATTCCAACAGATTAAGAGATATGGCAAGGTACTTTGGAATGCATCTCTCTATCCTTCCAAGGATTGACATGGGTGTGCTCTCTACCCCTTCAGAAAGGTTCTTTAAACTAAGAAAAAGACAAAATTAGATGATTAAAAAGCCCTGTTTTGTTTACAATTCAATATCAACAATCTTGAATTTAGAAACAATTTAGACTAGTAGAATTGATCTTTTAAACACATTATTTAAACAGTGAATTTTTATCTGAATAGCTGAAAGAAAATAAAATGTAACATGGGGAGATAAACTGCTCAGCAATCATTGCTGGTCAATTCACCAGGAACGCAGATTTGCAACTACAGAAATAGGAATCGATTTACTAGTCTCAACGATCAGTGGTCACATTAAATAGACATTATTTGTCAAGTGTTACACCGTAATGATGAAAATGGATGAGCCGAGTGTCCAGATAGAAACTGTTTTGCAGTAAATCGTAAATTACGTACAAACCATTTATGAGAGACTGCAGTTCTAGGAAAAGAACAATGTATACTGACTTTCTTCGTACTGTATTCCAATGTTAATCGCGCACCTGCACTTGTACAAGTCACTGTATCTTCAGTACTGGCACGGATTCAGCCAGAATGAATGCGCAGCATGCTGAGATCAGAACTTGTGGTACATTACCGAAACTGAGGCTTTGTGACACTGCAGCTCTATAGGCAGACTAGGTTACTCAATGTCATGGTTTTCTAATTGTAACTTCAATATTTATGAGCAAGCGATGAAACCCTCCATGTAATATCTTTAGGACTGCAATTGTGCAGAACTTGACCATCCCATGCTTCTGTAAATTTGCAGCAGCATTCAATATTTCCTGTTTTTTCCTTTACAGCTGCAGTTATTTTTCTTATCCACATAAATATGACAAGCAATTTGTCAAAATACCACATCTGTTTGTCAACCTGCCCACTATCATGAATGTTAACAGCTTCTATATTTGAATGAGAGAGGGGAGAAGCCTCAATAATTAAAGACTTCTGGTTTCTTATATTTCGTGTGTTTTGTATTTTATGAAATGTAAAACCCAACAGAGCAGAGAACAACAAAGGTATTCCTGCTTTTTTAAAAAAAAGGTATACGTTTACAGCCACTTTTGGTTCAATTTGGCAACATTAAGTAGTACTCTTTTCTGATCTCAAAGTACACACAACAGTATAAAGACTGGAAAATCATGGCAACAGATGTAAATACAGACTAAGCTCATGTTGTAATGTAACTGCGTAGCTGGAGATGCTATTTCATAGATGAAATCGTAAATATTTTCTGATCAACCTGCTCAGAGACGTTACACCTATGGAGAAGGTGAGACTTGAACCTGGGCCTGATGGAATCTGGAATAGACATGCGTTTATAGGGAAATTATGCACACATATTCGAAAACAGCCCTGCTATTTTTTGATAAATTTCCTTAACCAAAAATATGCAAAAATGTTCCCAATGCACTAAAATCAAAACCTCGAAGTTTATTCAAGAGCTAATTAAGAAAATCAATGACACAATAGAAGTAAAATTTCATTACATAATAATAATATTTGCTGTCTTTTTCCCTTCAAAACCACTTTCCAGTAAACAGAGCTGCTTGCAAACTCCTGAATCAATGTAGGCGTTGAAATAGTGTTACATGATTAGGATCATGACACACCATAGATTTTACACCTCCTGTCTCCCACTCAGCCAGAACCAATTACAAAATCTGTATTTCATGACTTCAGTTTGTTGAGAGAAAACCAACAGACTTGTATTATTTTAACTCTCTGAGTACCGTGTTTGCAAATTACACACAGAACCTG